CCCCCCCCCAGCCAAACCCATCAGGAGAGAAAGTGACCTTAGAACTAATTCAGTTAAAGGGTTTAGTTTGTTTTACTCTACCCAGCGGACTTATGTTTCTCAAGAGAGCCAGAAAACAGAAATCTCAGCAATTTCCTTATCAGTGAAAACTCTTGACCTTCATTTGGTGACATGAGTAGCCTGTTGAATAGGGTGAGTTTCTCACAGAATGAGAACTATATTCTGATTTTAACTTACCTTGGAGGGATAGAATCTACCATACAGAAGAGGCTGAATGAGACTAGCCTCAAGGCCCTCCTGCTTTGAGGTTGCTGTGAGGGCCCTCCTGCCTGAAAAGATCTCCCCTCACAAAATGCTGGAATTCCACCGATAGACATCTCTTTATTTCATCAGGGTAGGCATTACTTTGTCCTGACTCCTTGCAAGGTGCAACAACCCCTTCCCCCCAGGAGAGGGAGCACTTCAAGGCTCTGGCATCCCAAAGCAGGTGAGCTTATCAGAGCTGTCAGAGAATCAGACAGAATCAGGGTCTCCCTCTATCCTGGAATCAGTGACTCTTAAACTTGGAAGGGCGGCCAGAGGCAGGTCTTCCTGGGCCAAAGGCACTTGATCAACAAAATGTGCCTGTAAGGCCTCCAAGGGGCCTGGAGCCCAGGAAGGGGGACAGATCAGAGGTATGCCCAGCTGGGAGGACACCAATGCTCACCTTTTACCAGCTTCCAGAGGTAGATGTTCACCTGCTCAGAGGCCTCACGCTCAAGGGCAAAGCGACGCAGGTTGTCTGGACTTGGGGATACTGATGTGTGCACGAGGACCCGGCCCGGCGCCTTCGGACACCGGGTGGCACTGATCTCACTGTGGCCAGGGTCTGCCTTGACCTCTGGGAGACATAAGGAGCTTGTGAGTGCTCTGTCTCCCCACCCTTGTAGGCTCAAAAAGAGGGGCCACTGGTCTGAATTACCCTCAGGGTCTCCCAGTCCTTGGGAAACTTCTGGTGCCCTGGGAAGAGAAGGTCTCTGGGGACAAGAAAGGGGGCATCTCCCCCTCTTGATTAGCATATCAGAAAACTTCTCCCCCTTCAGGGCTCATCTTCTACCTCCTCCAGGCAGCCCACTGTTTCCTCCCACTCATAGCTTTTAAAACCCTTCTTGCCTATGACTCCCATTCGTGCCCTTAATCCCACACTGCCTTGCATTGCCTTGAACTTGTTTCACTTAGGTGTGTTTTCTCCTTAAAAGAGACCCAACAGGGTGAAGGGCAGGAACCATGTCCTCCAAGTCTTTCGAGTCACTCACACCAAGCACAGGCTCTCAGTGAACACACAGAGTGAAAGGTTTGAGGTGATGAAGGCAGTGATGATATGACGGTTGTGGTGATGGAAGAGGAGATGGCAGTGATCACGGTGATGGCGACTGTAGTGGTGGTAGTGGGGGGATGGTGGGGTGAAGATGGAGATGGTGGGGATGGTGGTAATTATTTTTGGTGCCAAATTGGATACAGTCTTAAAGTTTTGACATGCTGGAATTTCAAGAACATTCTCCAGAGCTCTCCATGTACCAATATTCCCTGACTATTTTTCAGGGACTAAAAGGCTAAGTCCTTATACATACACTCCCTTCTAGATTCTTATTAGTTATGAGATGTCCAGCTAAGAGCTGTTACAGTATCAATATTTTTAAGAGGAAATGGACTGGGTGCTGAGCCCAAGACCAGGTATGTTTGCGCAGGAGCCCAGGAGCGAGCCTCAGCCAGTCTCATAGAAAATCCAAGTTGAACCCCCATCCCTTGCGTTTGAGGCACTGTCCTGTCATGCTCCCTCCCTGACCCTGGCTCAATAGCATATTACTCTGGTAAATAATAGTTATTCCTTATACTTGGATTTTGAGTTACAATTCATAAAGTATTTTCATCAACTCTGTGTCTGAAGTTCAGAAAGGAAAAGTAACTTGTTAAGCTCACAACTGTGAGTTAGGTAGGTAAATAAGTCAGTAAGCAAACTAACACAAACTCAGATTTCCCGAAGTTAAATGCTGGGATAGGTGGGGTAATTGTAGCCACTGAGCTATCTCATTTGTGAAACAGCTGAGTTGTGAGAATTAAGTGAAATATGTGAAATCACCTGGCACTAGTAGGTTCTCAAGGCATGTTTCCTCCTTTTTCTTCCCTGTTCCTCTCCTTTCAGCTTTTCCAGTGAAGCCCTCAAACCAGAAGTGGTCAGGGAACAACCTCACCTTGCACCTTCCACCCCATCTGCCTTTTCTAGGCCGAAGGGAAGAGGCCTGCCCTTCATATCAGCCAGTGTTGACGCTCACAGACTGTGCTCCTCAGTGAGATACTCTGACATTCCCTTAGGCACACTTAATCCTAGGGTCACATGACATTGCTGAAAGAACTCAGCCGGCAAGTTTGGGAGCCCGAGTTCTAGTTCCAGCTCCACCACTACTTTGCTGTGTGACTTAGGAAAGTCCTTTCTCTTCTCTGGGTCTCAGTTTTCTCATATGTAGATGAGGGTTGAAGGAAGACGATAGAGGTCAAGACTATGGTCTTTGGAGTAAGACAGGCAGGGGTTCAAATCCTCTGTCACTTACAGTTAGTTGTATGACCTGAGACAAGGCATTCATCTTCTCGTTCCATAAAATAGAGATAGATACCTGCCTTGTTCACTGTGGTGAGGATTATATAAACTCATGCATGCAAAATACCTACCTGGCATATGGTAAGTGCTCAATAAACACTGGCTGTTTCTCTTAAAAGTCCTAGTATCCTAAGATGTTATGGCTTTATAGAGTCCAGAACACTATTTGATTCTATGTATATATGTCTGAGGGCCTCTGACTCTGTCTCTGTAACATTAGATGGTCCCACAAGTAATATATTACAAGTCTAGCATTTTCCACTGCTGTGCTTCTAACATTCTGTGCATCTAACACCCTTCTATTCTGTGGCTCTGGATCCATGCCCCATCCATGTCAGAGATGATCCAAGTGTCTGTGCCCTGGGGAGAGAGACCCAGGGCTCACTCTGGCCAGTGCCCTCCCTGCCCCCAGCATCTCTTTGTACCTGGGCAAATCTTGCAGCACTTTCCGGACACTTTCTCAGGGTGATGGCAGGGGTACTCAGTGGGGCAGGTCACCCGCTGGCAGTCCTGGCGGCCGTCCTGACAGGTGCACAGGATACAAGGCAGTGGTCCAAAGGAGCGAAAGGCTGGGTGCCACACCTCCCCATGTGAGTATGTCTTCCCGCCATGCACGCAGGCTGGGCCATGGAGGGCAGAGAGGGAGGAGGGTCAGTGCCTGGACTCTGGCCAGAGTCATGTAATAGATGGGGACCCCTGCTCCACCAGTCTGGCCCAGCCACACTGGTCCCATGTCCCTGACATCTCCCCTATCTCAGCACTCAGGGCAGAGATGTGCCCAGTAAGGACTAGTTCTGTCTCTAAGTCAGTACTCTGAACCTCAGTGTCCTCATCTATCAAAGAGGGAATCAGACCTTATGTCCTTTAAGGGCACCTTCAGTTTTGATGTTCTATGAATCTATAAGTTCATAGGAAAATTGAGATTGGAGAACCACTGAGTTGGGGGTATAGGAATGGGAGGTAGGAGCAGTAGCTACCCCCTGTTCCCATCTCAGTGGTTGGAGGAGGTTCCAGTCCCCACCTTTTTTATGTTTCTCCTTCAGAACGATCTTGACTGTTGTGCTGCCGGCCCCCTTCGGTCGGAAGTGGCGAGGAATGAAGCCCAGAGGGGAGCTGAGCCCAGTGGGGGCTGGGGTGCCCAGGCCTCTCCTTCTCCCGCCGTCCCCTGAACATGGATCCTGGGAATGTCTCTGCAAATGGCAGGAAGGATGAAGATCACTGATGGGCCACTGCCAGTGAAGGAGTAGCAAGATAGAGGCTGCAGCAAGTGGCCCGAGGGTAGATACCAACATGACTTCCCAGTGAAGAGAGGGCACAGGCTAGGGACAGAGGAAGATCTGGATGGAGTCTAAGATGTTCTCAGACAGTGGATCTTTGAAAACTCGGAGGACAGTACTTTGGAAATCCAGCCTCCACCAAGCCCTTCTTAGGCCTGTCAGAGCCAGGGCCTTGGGGCTGGGTGAGCCAAGGGTGCTGAGGTCTTTATGTGGGTGACATAAGTGATCAGGGACCCAGAGAACTTAATATTTAAGAAACATAAGGTGAGAATGTAGTGAGGATGAGGGTCAGGAAATTCTTCTTTGTCTGAGAAGATTTAGGTGATGGGACAAGGGGACAGGCCCCTGAAGATCCCACCAGAATTCCATGGACAGGAAGATGAGGAGAAGGCCCCATCCAGAGATAGAGGGGCTCCAGAGCTCAGGCCCCCTTTCCTGACCCCCTGGAATCTAAGACCCCGAGACTCTGCTCCTCCAGACCAGTTGGGAGGGCTGGCAGTGATAGCAAAAGGTGTGCGCTGAGGGAAGTGTAACAGGGCAGGAGCTCCACTCCGCAGTCATGGTTTGAGGACTGGCAGCTCTAGGCCCTGGGAGAGGACCAGTGGCCTGGGGGAAAGTGGCAGAGCTTTAGCCCACCTCGCTGAGCCCAAATCACTCTCATTCCTTCTACTACAGCCCCTTTCTGCCCTGTACAGTCTCAGTTAGTCCTTTGATCACTGGACTGAGCCCACAAGAGCTCCCAGCAGAAACGGTGTCTAAACCCCAGCACAGGCCCAGGCACCTAGGAGGCCCCCAGGAAATGCTTATCAAGTAGAATAGAGGCAAGAAGGAACTGGAGAGCCCAACCCCTAAATGGTGATTCGCCCACATCATCCAAGTAGCTGCTTAGGGCCTGGAACTAAGCTTGGGTGGGCTGCACTGAGCACACTGCCTCCTAGGGAGAGGATGGAAGGAAGGGATGGCCTGGCTCAGGTCCTGCGGCACAGAGGTCCCCACCTGAGAAGGCCCAGCCTGGGAAGGAAGGATGAGCTGACAGAGGAGAAGGGAAAGCTCATTGGTTCAGATCCCCAGGGAGTCTTGGGGAAGGGGAGCCCAGCCCGTAGTCCCCCAGGGTCCAGGTGGCCCAAGCGGAAAGAGCAGGTGGAGTTGTTCACATTGTAGACAGCACAGATGATGGATGGGGACTTGAGTCAGCACGTGAGCCCATTCTCCTACCTCTTTCCTCTCCAACCAGAGAGAGCAGGGCAGTTCAGCTTATCTAACTCTAGATCAAGACTGTAAGGGGCCAAGACAGAGGGGGGAAACAGAGAGGTAGCCCCCAAAAAGCCAGCACCACAAGAGCTGGCTGGGGAAGGCTGACCCAAGAGAGAGGCCACTCCCTCAGGGAATATGCTACTCAAAGCACAGACACAGGCTCTGAACTGAACAGTGTCAGAGTTTCCCAGGAGGGAAATCGGTAAGGTTGGGGCCTGTTCCAGGTTGTTTGGTGCTTTCCCCTGGCCCCTCCTGGCCCGTCAATCATGATGGGACCCATGATGAGAGGTTAGGGACAGTGGCTGGACTTGGTGGGGCTAATGGAGCTGACCCAGGGGACAAATGAGAAATGAGGACAATATGATTGCTTGCTCCAGAGTCATGGAGATGTAGGCCTGGATACCAGCCCACCTCACCTCCTCTCCCCACCCTGTCAGTAAAGCTGTGCACTCACCGCCCCACGGTGTAACTGTGTGGTGTCCTCTTCAGCTGATTTCTCACCTGAGCCATCTGGAAACCCAAAGAGAAATCGAGTCAGCCTCCACATCCTCAGCCTTGCTGGCTGGAGCCCTGCAGCCTCCACCTCCAGGCTCAGCCTCTCTAAGGCCTAGTGCTATTTCTGCAGCCCCCGAACACCAGCAGGTCCCTTTGTCCCAGTGGGGACTTATTCCCACTTCTCATTATAGCGTCTCCTCACCCTTGGGTTAATGAAGCCCTTACATCTGGGTCACTGCCTCAGTTTCCACACACTGACCTCCTGGTCACCATTAGGACTGAACTGCTTGGCTGGGCCAGAGCTCTTGCTCAGTGCCCATCATGGATGGCCCAGAATCCCATCCCTGCAACCTGCTTAGTCGCAGTCCCCTGGGCAGCTACTCTACCCAGCCGCACTTGGAGTCACACTATTGGGGAGTTCCCTGAGCTTCTCTGCCCCTCCAGCTGGGACACCCGAGGACCCCTCCATCTCCCACCTCCTGGGGCACCAGCATACAAGGTCTTTTGGGGCCCCGGGGCTTCCTAAAGCCCAGAGTGGGCTTCTCTCTCCCAAGCCCCTGCCTCACGTACAGTCTGGCGCCCTCTGATATTCTAGGTTCAAAGACCAAGAACCCTGGGGTTAGACTGTCCATTAGGAATCACTGAGGCCAACGGCTCAGTGCGTACATGGCATAGCTGAGACCCAGAGAGGAGAAGGGATCTGCAGGAAATCGCTGGAAGAACCAGGACTAAACTGGAGTCATCTGGCTTCCAGTCCAGTGCCCATCCAGTGCACCAACATCCAGGGAAGCGTTCAACTACGGTTCACTCCCCGCACCGAGTCCTGCCTCCTCCAAGAAGTTTTCTCAGACTACCCCAGCCCACAGGGAACAGTCCAACCATCTGTGCACTTCATTCTGCTTAAGCGGGTTGCCCTTCACTGCCAACATGTTAGCCTATCTCTGCCCAGTACAGAGAGTCTACCTGGATTCTGCTTCACACACTTGCTCTGAGCCCCGGTGAACACAGGCCTGTGGCTGCGGTGAGGATGACAGGAGGAGACGTGGTCCCTGCCTGTACAGACCCCTCTCCTGTGCCTCTTTTGGTCCTCTCGGCCTCATCTGACTGCAGGGACTTCAGCAGCATCCCCTCCGCATGGGCTCCAGCTGACTTCCCTCAAGCTCAGTCTGTCAGCACCTACCCTCATGTCCATGCCCATGGACATGTCTCCCTCCAGGCCCCCACCCCACTCCTGCCCCCAGGGTAGCTTAGCACCCACATATGCACCCACAGGAGGGGAGCATGAAGGAATTCACCATGGGGTGAACCTTTGATCAATGGAAGTTAGTGGTTGGGGACAAATTCTTCCTCTATCAACCCCAGACTTTCTGAGAAGCAGAAGATGACTTAGAGCAATAGGTCACACTTGATATCAAGCAGGGGCAGTTCTCCAACTCATTCTCACTTTGTTTCTCTTTCCTTGCCTGCCTTACTCCCCCTTTCCTTCCTTCTCTCTCCCTGGGATGGCAATAAAAAATGCACCTCAGCCTCTGCCATAGGCTCGGCTTTCAGGGAGCTCTGGGCTAAGCCACTGCCCTTGAAGAAGAAATAGTCTGCTACATGCTGAGTGTCCCTTGAGGTCCCCCACCCCCAACTCCACCCCCACATAGTCCATGACTGGAGGATTCCTGGGGCGGGTGGGCACTTCTAGATCTAGGGGCAGACTCACCTTTGCAGGCCTGGCAGCAGGAGCTGGGCAGCGGGAGAGGTGAGGGGCAGCCTGGTTCCGGGCAGGTCATGAGGCCGCAGTAGATCTGGCCCTCCTGAAATACAGAGCAAATGGGAGCTGGGAGATGAGCTCTGATGAGGTTCAGCCTTGGGGTTAGGAAAGCCCCCTGCCCTGGGGGCATATGGCCCTGAGGTCTCCCCTGAGGTGGGGGAGGGAGGGAGCAGCAGGGTGATGTAGGCAAGGCCCAACCAGGTCAGAAGAGGGGCCCTCTGTACCCTCCCATTGCCACTCCAGGCCCTGAAGTAGCATTCATATCACCCTTCAGTTCCTAAAGCGTTTTCACACCCTGTCCCTCCCCAGGCTCTGACAGCCACTCGATGAGGTGGGACCCTTCCATGCTAGAGATGGAGAGAGCCTGCAGAGGGGCCTAGCCTGCCTAAAGTCAGAGACACAGCCATGCAGAATGGACTAGAGCCCAGTCTCCAGGCTTTTCCTATTGAAATCAATGTTCTTCATCCCTGGCCTGGAAAGGGGGGTCCAGCATAAGGGAGGGACATAGGTGGGGGGTACCTTGGGCTCATCTTGCTCTCACTAAAAACCCTAGGTCCGCAACTTCAGGACCCAGTCTGGAGAGGCAACACTGCAGGGGAAAGGGCCTTCTGGGAATCGGGAGGCCAGATGACCTTTGGTCAGTCACTTCTCTTCTCTGGGCCTCAGTTTCTTCCTCTGTGAAATGGGGGCACACCCATCTGGGTTGCGAAGATCAAGTGAGAGGACAGTTGTGAAAACGTTTTTTTAAAATATAAGGCATTTTTAAAATGGGAGGAAGTGATGTTACCTCAAGTCCTTCCTTATTCCTTTTCCAGTGAGTCTCAAAAGTAAGGGTTCTGATCCCTCAGACAAGGCCAGGAGTCAAGTCAGACCCATATAAACAGGCATGAGGAGGAGGAAGGGGAGACCCAAGTATCAGGGAGAAGGGACAAAGAGTCACAAGAATGCTTTCACCCCCAACCTCACCCTTATTTCTGTCTCTTCTCACGGCCCCCTCCTAATCTAGGCCTTTGCTTGATAGGAAGCAGCACAATGCAGGGAAAGGAACATGTGTTTTGGAGTTATGCGGCCTTGGCTCTGAATTCTGGCTCTGCCACTTAACTAGCTGTGTGACCTTAGGGAAGTTGCTTAACTGCTCTGAGCTTCAATTCCTTCATCTGGTATCTTTCTCCTAGGGTCATTAGGAGGTTGTATTTAAGCATGAGGCATTTCTATGAACCTAGTAGGTACCACGGAGTAGACCACTACAAGAGATTCAGGCTCTGCAAAAATAATCGCTCTCTAGGTTGACTTATAAGTAGTCACTCTCGTTTCAAGTTGTTTGCTCAGCAGCACAGTTACTTCAAGGATCAGAGCCTCAGACTGATGGGATCCTCCTACTGAACAGATGGAGAGGCAAGCTGAGAGAAGTGGCTTTCTCAAGGTCACACGGGGAACCATGGCAGAGCTAGAGCTCCAACACGGGTGTCCAGCACCTAGTCTAGACCTCCTCCCTTCACACCACTGCTAAATCTGATGATTATTTTAAAGAGAGGACATTGGAGATCCCCTGGTCAGACCCCCTATGCATGCAAAGGAACTGAGGCCCAGAGAAGTTTGGCGATCAGGTAGTAAGGAAATCTGGAGAGCAGAGGAGTTTCTCCTGACAAGGCACAGACGCGGAGCTGAGCTTAAGGGTAAATGATATGCTGAAACCCCCTGCAAACCTATGGCAGGGCCACACCTAGAACCCCCCAAAAGGAGGAGGGTGAAGACTTTCCAGGTCAGCCTTGTTTGGCTTCAGACTCTGTACACTGTAACCCTGCAGAGTCAGCCCTGCCTGTCCCAAAGCTCAACTCTGACCACAGCAGGGGTAGTTCAGGCAGCTTCAGATTGAATTCCATCTGATATAGGCTGGCCCTGCCGCTGTGCCCCAGGACTGAAAGCTGATTATTCACTCACTCACTCACTCACTCACTCACTCATTCATTCACTCACTCATTCACTCATTCATTCCTTAAAGACATCCTCTGTAAGCTAGGCCCCGGGCCAAGAGCAGTGGAAGATAAATAAATGAGTTGGGTATGTTCCCTCCCCTCCAGGAGTGCAAAGGCTACCTGGGGGAACAGAAATGGGCAAATGTTAGTGCAAGGTGACCGGTGCTGTAACAGGCAGCTCGGGAGGGTGCAGAAGCCCAGAGAAGGGCAGGATGTTCCAAACTCCTGGTGTTCCTTTGTTCCTGAGTCCACTCACTCTCACTTTGCTCTGACCAGAACAATCTCCCTCCCTCCCAGTCCACGCCACCCTGCTTTTCAGGCCCAGACCATGGGTGGGCTACAGGAGGGTAGAAGGTTCTTACGGTACAACTGCAGAGGACACACTGGTTGGGCAGGTGGGAAGGGAACAGCTCATGGGCACTGAACATCTCTCCATGTTGATACATGGTTCCGTTGTGCTGGCAGGACTTTGGGGGCGCTCGGAGCCCAGAGGGCGTGTGAGGTTCTGCAGGTGGGGAGGGGCAGGAGGAAGAAGAAAATGAGGTTTCATGTGGATCTAAGAACTTTGACAGAATTAACTGGGCCACTTTTCTGAAAGTTTTGCATTTTATCCCATCTTGGCATTTAAATTGAGCTCTGGCCTCGGTCTTTCCAGACAGTCCCCGTATCAGCTAACCAAGAAAAGGTCCTGCTGACACCTACAACTGACCTTGTCACTCTCCCACACTCCTCCGCATGGCCTTTCAGCCCCCAGTGTCTGAGCTGGTCCTTCCCAGAGCCAGAGGCCAGCTCAGAAGCCTCAGCTCCACTGAGGCCCACTCAGTGGGAACCTGCGTTAGTTCATTCGACATTCAATGAGCATCCACAGGGCACCTCCTAGTGCCAGGCACTGCTCTAGGTGCTGGGGACACAGTAGTGAACAGAACAAAGTCCCTCATGGAATGACATCCTAGTGGAGTCAGCTGGGATGAGCTAGACTGTCCCTGTGCTTGGTGTAAGCTCCTGTCATTCACTGGCCACCAGAGCCTCTCTCCCCATTGCCTGCCGACTGATTAGCCAGTCTCATCCTGCCAGGCGAAGGAGGAAGCCTCTAAGGCTCCTGTCCTGAGAGAGCCCGCTCATCCTCTCAGACACCTTCACTAAACACCTTCTCGCACCAGGCACCACGCTAGGTGTTGGGAATGGAGCGCCCAACAAGACTCAGCGCCGCCCATCAAGAAACTCACAACCTAACTGGTAGAGAGACATGCCATACTTACTCAGTGACACTGTCGCATGGTAAAGGCTAGGGCACAGAGGGGGAGCCACTAACTCAGCCAGGACACTGGGGTGGGGTAGGGTCAGGGAATGATGGTCTGAGCTGAGTCATGAAGAACACGTAGAGCCAGGTAGGCAAAGGGGCAGGAAAGAGAGAGAGAGAGAGGAGCAAGTGAGGAAGATGGGGCCTGGGCCAAGGCACAGTCAGTCAGCAAGGAGCGGTCAGGATTCCTAGAGTCAGCCTCAGAGAGGGAGGAGGCATGACGCCCCCTCGCTGGGCAGGATGAAGCTCAGGGCCCCTGCTTCCTGAGGGAATCCTGAGCCAGGAATCTCTGCGACCTAAGGCAGAGCCTCGGTCAGATCCTACTACAGTCCCACATGGAAAATGAGCCCCTCTATATCCATTCCACATAGGTCGCCAGCTCACCAGGAGAGCCCTGGCTCTCGAGCCTAGAGGCTGAGGCTGTAATCTGGAGCCTCCCTCATCACCTTGACGCCTCTACGGATGGCTTTTCCTCTCCACATCTCCCCGCCCCCACTCTTCTAAATTGGCCTCCCTGCTGGCTGCCTTTCATTGGTCACTTGATATGCCAGTTTCTTCCCACACTACCTCTCCTCTCTCTTACCTTTACTTCCCAGAATCTCAGTCTTAGAGGCTCTTAGAACCTTAAAATTGTGGAATCATAGACATTTAGCATCAGGACACAGAGTTCCCGAGCCTCAGCATTGGGACGAATCTCAGGGCACACATACTCCAACTCCTTTGGTCATTCCCAGCCCCAGGGCTGTAATCCTGGGGCTCCCTGCAGGGCCTCCTAGCCCCAACTCACCTCTACTTGCACAGGCAAGTCCGCTCCCTCAGGCTCTGGCCAGCCAGAGAGAGACTAGAGCCTGAATGTGCCACGGACAGGACAAGCAAGCTCCTATTTCCCTCAGCTACTCTCCACATTTTCTCCCCTCAATCCTGCTAAGGACAGCTACTTAAGAATGAGAAGTTTGCTGCTACCCCAGCCCTCCTTGGGTATCCAGGATTCTTCCTCTGAGCACCTTGGTGCCTCAACACCTCTGATGGCTAGAGACTACCTCTCTCATTCCAAGGGCCTCCCTCTGCCAGAGGCCTGCATCGGGGTGAGATAAGGGTCAGTAGGTATAAGGGGATAAAAGAGGCTACTTACCCACACACCGGGGACAGCACTGCTGTGGCTCCGTCACAGGCTGGGGGCAGTGGACAGGCGGGCAGTGGAGGCGATAACAATTCACATGGGCACTCTGAAGGGGACACAGGGGTAGGTCCTAATTCCAAAGAGCCATTGCCTCCCACCTGAACCCATCCTCTCCCAAAACCCCAACCCAATTGCAGACACTTCACTCATTTTAAGCCTGTGATGGAATAAAAGCAATAAACTTATGTGTCCAGCCTCTCCCTTCCCTTGCTCCCTGTGTGGCTCGCCCATCCATGTTCCTCCCTGACCACGGAGGAGGGCTCAGTGTGCATGGGCTTGAGCAGACCTAGTGTCCCCTTCACAGTGCTTGAGGCATACAAGTTAAAGCCTTGAGTTATTTCTACATTGGTCTTGACTCTTATTTTAGCTCCAGGGCTTTGTTCTTTGACCTCTGAGCCCAAGCTTCATTGTTAAGAGAGGAATGTCACATGCAAGGACAGGTGACAAGGATGGGAACAAGACTAGAAACCTGGTGTGAATAAGACCCAGGGCTTTGTGATCCATCCCTATATCTCTGGGAGGTTTTGTGACCCTATACAAAGCCCTTGGCACCAGAGAAGGAAAAGCCCAAAGTTCTTATGCTTTTTTAAGTACAGCAAGTGAAAGAGAAGGGAGCAGAGAAACATAACAGAGAAAGATGAGGAGCTAAAGGAAGAGAAGCTAACACCCCTTATGGCAGTTTTCTGAGTCCTAGGCTCCCCACACCTTACTTGCCCCTGTTGTAAGGGTCACTGCACTGCGTTGTAATGAACCGTGTACAGTTGTGCCATCTATTCACCATGAATTCCCAAGAACAAAGACCAAGTCTCATTCTATTCATCTCTGAATTGTCAGCACAGGGCTTGGCTCCAAGCTAGTACCTGCTACAGGTTGAATGAATGAATGAGTGAATGAATGAGAGCCAGGAGGGGAGGAATAGATGGTGTCTCTCTTAGAGAAATGAAGCTAGCTTTGTTCAAACTTTGAGGTTGGCAAGTTCGTTTCCAGCCTCTCTGCCCACCTAAGTGCCCCGATAGCACTCTCCCAGAAACAGCCTCCTACCCCATGGAAAACCCTGGACCAGGCCCTAGTCCCTCTGGAGTCACTGCTTCTCAAAGATTAATCTGGGCTGACGCATCATAGAGTCCACTGAATTGATCTGAGCTCCACAAGGGGCCTTCTAGAGGCCTGGCACACATGCATGCTTAATAAATGTGCAGAGGGTGAACTGAGCCCTCAGATGAGAAGGTAGGGTGGAGTGTGAGGAACTATGAGGCCTGAAGAGGTACAATCTCTCTCTTGATTCTGGCTTTGAAGGATCCCAGGGATGGAGATAATCAGTGACATGCAGCAGGAAGTAAGATAGATACAGGTCAGGGAGTTGAAAGGGTAGGGGGCCTTGCAGCCAAAGTTGCCTCTCAGGAAAGTCATAACTACCGTGTACTGAGTGGCTACCAGGTAGGGGTTTTATGTTATACAGAAATGTATTATCTTATTTCATCTTCTCAAGAACCCTAGAGGTAAACACTATTATCCACACTTTCAAAATGAGAAAAGAGCTTCTGAGATGTTAAGTTGCCTGAGATGACACAGCAAGTAAGCACCACCTCCAGGGTTGTGCACTTTCCATGATGCTGAGCTGTCTCTGGTGGACGGGGTGGGACTCACACATTCACTCAAAATTTACTGCATGACTACTGAGTGCCAGGGACTTAGTGAGTGAGACTGGCAAGGTTTCTGCTCTCATGGAGCTTACATCCTTGCAGGGGGAGACAGACCATAAAAGACAAACAAGTAGTAGGAACAAGATCATTTCAGATGTTAAAATTTATGATAATCACACAAGGTAATGTGATTGAATTACCAAGACTAGACAACTTTAGAAACAGCAGTCAAAGAAAGCCTCTTAAGGAGGTAATATTTATGTCACGAACTGTGAGAGGAGAAGGAACCAACCATGAGAAGATCCAGGGGAAGAGCATTCTAGGTGGAGGAACAAGTAGGAATGAGTTTGAAGTGTTGGCACAGGTAGGAAGTGAGGTTGAAGAAATAAGGCGAAGTCAGATCACACAGAGCCACAGCAGGGAGTCTGAATTTTACTTTAGGTGCACACGAAAGCTAATGGAGGGTTTCAGGGGCTTCCGGAATGACATGATCAGTTTCGTGTTCAGCAAAGATCCTTCTAGCTCCTGTGCGAAGGATGGATTTAGAGTCTCCCAATGGAGGCTCTGTTGGGAGGCTTGAGTAGCATCCAGGTGAGAGATGAAGGTGGCTTAGAATAGGGGGAAGTGGTGATGATGAGAGAAGTGAAGGGATTCAGGGTATATTTTAGGGGTATCGGCTATAGCTCTTTCGGTTGAGGAAACTGCGTATGTAAACTCTGGGGAGGGAGAAATGAATTAGCTTCCGTGGATCACAAAACTTGGACTTTGTCAACTGGACCACATAATATGTCTGGAATTTTCTGTTTGGGTTTCCTTCCTGTTCTTTGGCTGTATTTCATAAAGTTCTTTTTGAAAAGCTGATTGGCCTCAGATGTGCTAAGAAAAACCAAAGGGAGGCAGTCCTGGGGGTGTTGTGCCCCTGTTGGCAGCAGAGTTCCACCTGGAGCCAACATGGTAGAAGTAGTGGAGAGTCAGAGGGAAAGGCCCCAGGAGGAGGGAGACCCCAGGGATCAGAGTCAGGAGAGGGGCTGGCTCACTTGCCAGTGTCCCTTCAGAAGCTTTTCTCTGCTCCCACCCTGAGCTAAGGATTGTTGTAACATGGGAGGCTCTTGCCTGGCCTGAGGATTCTGCACCACATGGAAGTCTTATTTATTCCATCCAGTTGATTGTACAAGGCCCTGCAGAGGGTGCTGGGTTGGAGGTGGGGTGGCAGGAGAGAGGAGGTGAACAAAAAATTGGGTCTCTGCCCCAATTTGTTCAGCCTTTGGCAGGACACTGAACTGGACATAAGACAGCGCCTAGGAAAACCTGCTCTCAGGCTCCATCTAGGAGGGTCAGTAACTGACAGACACAGGTGACTATTATACCTGGCAAACAGTGATCAGGAGAAAGGACGGAGAAACTTACATGGGATCCCAGAAGAAGAAAATGCTTGCAGATGAGGGATCAAGTAAGGCTACTGGTAAAGGTGACATTTGGCCAAAGCCCTAGAAGAACAACCCTTTGGACCAGTGGAATTGGGAGAATGCATCCTAAGGCAGTGTGGCGAGAAAGGGCTGGAGGAAATAATATGAGGAAAGTATGGGAGGCTGGGTCGGAAAGGCTGTTTTCTGCTACACAGGAGGCGGGGGGGCTGGCACCAGCAGAGGTGGAGAGAAGGCTGGGATGAGAGATGGGAGACCGAAGTCCTGGCCCAGCCTAGCTGCTGACCCGCAGTGTGACTTATCCCTCAGAGGTGTGCAGTAGTGGTGGCAGGCACTGAGTATTCGGTAGAAAGTGGCGTGGCCCCAAGTTCCTAGGGATCCTGGGACCAGAGTGCTCCTGACCTCCAGAGTCAGGCTTCCTCCCTCCCTCTGGGGTGACTTCTCTGGAGGTCTCCCAGACATACCTGACACAGGTGGCCAGAGGAACCTACCTCGGAACAAGTGCAGCGAAGGCAGTACATCAGGCCCTGTGGCTCCAAGTAGGGGTGCCAGCTCTCGCCGGGGGAATATCTCTTCCCATGGAAAAGGCAGAACATGTCTGGGCCTGGCAAACCAACCAGTGCTTTGTCAGTCCCAGGGCGCTCCAGCCCAAAGACCCTGCCTCATCCCTCCTTCTTTCTGGTTCTAGGAAGAATGTCATCTGTATCACTCAGGCCAAAGAGAATCCATTGGATATGCTGTCCCCATCAGGGGGCCAGAATATCTTAGTTTGAATTTCACCTTGACCGCTCACTTGCTGTGTGACTTTGGGAATATCACTGCCCTTCTCTGAACCTTAACACTTCTGTCATGGGGCAGTTGAAGGATCAGGCAGTGAAAGTGCTTTATAGATTCAAATGGTGGTACAAATGTTAGTTATGATTAGAAAAACCATCTGAGGGCCAGAGAGGGTAAATCACACCCCTAAAGTCACACTGCAAGTCAGTCACCAAGCAGGGATGACAGCCTAAGTCCGACTGGCTCCTTCTGCCCTCAGAATCACACTTCCTTCCTTTCCCTTTGTCTCATTTTACTTATTTACTACATCTCTGTACCCTCTCCTCCCTTGCCCTCTGCCGCTCCCCTTCACTCTCTCTCAGTCTCTGACCTACCTTTTGAATAAAGCTACTCACAGCAGCTTTCTTGCTTTCATACTATACCGTGTCCCTATATCTCAGCCAGCCGTGATGGAAAGCGCCTGAATTTGGAAAATCAAGTACTGCCCAGTGACAGGTTAGAAAACTGACTTTAATATCCTTAAAAACAGTCATTGGTACTATTGCACAGTCAATTGATCAGTGTGTGTGTGACTGCACATTAACTATTTTTGTCATCTGCATATCAGTTGTCAATATGGAGATGAATGCTTCTAAGTATGTTTAAAATCATTTGTTTTGTGATGTGCTATATATAGCTCTTCTGCAATCCTGCTTTCTTGAAACCTCCACCTCTGTCTCTCCTCCCATAGCCCAGTCTTTTGGGCTCTTTCTAAAACACACCAGCCCTCACCTCTTATTGGCTCACTGCTTAGCAGCAGGTCAGGGCTCCAGACTGGATTTGTAGCTCTTGGTCCCACCCTCTACCTCTTGCCCTATTCTTGCCAACCCTCCTCCACTCAGGTATCTGCTGATTCTTACAACCCAGAAGGGATGCTATCATTCCTAGAGCAAAACTCTCCATTATCTGAAGAATAACCTAAGCTCTTTTAGGGAGGTACTAGGAGACCTAGCACCATTGAAGTGTCCACAAAGACTTGCTGAATTAAATGAGTTGAAATATGGAGAAAGGAACCACTTATTGACTATCCTCTCTTTACATAAATTACTTAATTATCTCATTAATATTCTGGCTTGGAAAATTAAATTGGAAAGTGCTTGTAAAGTGCTTACTTAGCTCAGTTCCCAACTTATGATAGTCACAGTAACAAGGACCCTGCAAGATGGACATTATCATCTTGAATAGACATTTAAACTCCCTGAATCACTGAGTATTGAAAGCAGTACACTCGTAGGGGGAGCTCACACACAATGCAGAAATTCCTTGTCAGTGCTGGGATGGGCTGGCGCTCAGCCCCCAGGCACACAGCTCCAGAGCCTAGTTGTTCCGAAGCCATTCCCAAACCTTTAGGAAGTTTCCTTTGTAAGAAGCTGAAATCAGCTTCCCTCTGGCTGATTGCACTGCTCTTGCTCTGTCTGATCTCTGCCATGGTCATGATGCCCTCCGAGTCTGTGTTTCGATGGCCATTGGGTACTGAGGAACACAGGGGTTTATTTCCCTCCCTACCCCCGACCCAGCCCCCCGAACTAGAAGAGGGGATCAGACAGCAGACCTGGTTCTCAGCAAGGGCCCGGCTGGCCCGTATCAAATGAGCAGTGTTTATCTCTCAGCCCCCGCTGGCAGAGAGGGCGGGACACAGGCCCAGCTGGGGTGCTTGTCAGAGCCAGCCCAACTCTCCAAGGATTGAATAATGTCTTTCTTCCTCAGTCCCCTCCTCTCAGCAGGGAGGGGCGATTGCAACACTACCATGGCCTTAGGTCACAGCCTTGTTGCTGAAGAAACTCTGTCCCACCTTCCTTGGGGCAGCCCTGTAGACTGGCCCTTGTGCCAATTGGCACCCCCTCTCCTTCACCGCCTGCTTAGAGCATGAAGACAGAGGTAATGTCTCAGCCTGTGACCAGGCTGGGAGGCCCCTTCCCCCCACCTACAGACCTGGCAGCAGCTGAGAGTGGGGGGGCCCTGGCAGGCCAACCCTCAACCCCAAGAGGCCTCCTGCAACCACAGTCCCCACCTCACCATGCTCTCCTAGGTGAGAGGCACACGGAATGGTGACGTTGCCTGGAGCTCCCTCTTCCTCTAAGGAGGTGAGTGCCGAAGGCCATGTCAAAACCAGGCAGGAAGAATAACTGCCAGGCAGGGCCGGCCTCTGCCTCTGTCCCCGCAGTCCTGACACCAGCCCCAATCCCTGCACGTGGCTGGCGGAAGGAGCTCTAGCTCTTCATGCTACCAGTACACTGGGACGTTACGGAAGACTCTTCCCTTCTCTGAGTCTCAGTTTCCCATTTGCAAAATAAGTGTATGGTGGGGGGTTTTGGGGTGAACTTTGTGATTTTCAAAGGTTTTCTGCACAGATGGTTTATAAATTCCTGATTTCAAAATTCTAAGACTCCAAGATTCTAGGTTTCTAAGATTCAAAATTTGAAAATTCCATGTTTCTAAGAGCCTACATTTCATTAGAAAGTGAAGCCTCTAGAATTGTACAATTTTGCGGTTCTAAGATTCTATCATTTTAAGCTTCCATGAGCTGGCATGTATTTACGGTCCTGTACACCCAGACTCTCAGGGGCCCCAAGGGGAGTTAGCACAAGGTCTAGGGAGCCAGTGGTGCCTATCCTGAGTGACATGGAGAGGGAGGCAAAGCTTGTCTCTCACATTCCCTCCCTTCCCTTCTACTCCCTTTGGTTCTCTGTGGCCTCCCACTCTTGCCCTAGCCTTGGGTCTGCCCTGCTTTCTCTCCCCGCTCCACCACCAAATCTCACCCCAACCACCTGTACCACATCTCTCTCCAAGTCAGGGGGCCAAGTAGGCCCTCTCTCAAAGATCTTATGGAGTTAACGGCCCCTGGCTGTGATGTCTAACCAGGGAAAAAGACTGTTAGTGGGGGAAGGTTTTGTTTCAAAAAGACTATTGGCCCTGTTCCAGGCTTTATAAAGACAGAAAAAAATTAAGATTAAACAGGTCTCATCCCTTTCAAAACCTCTCGCTCAGTGAATCCTGGCTTTGGAGTCAGATAGGCCAGAGTTCAAACTGGATTTGGCTTTTATTTGCAGCCTGAGTTTAGACAAGTTTCTTAACCATTCCAGGCCTCAGTTTCCACATCTGTTAAGTGGGATTAGTGATAATGTCTTCATCTTGGGATTATTATAGAATTAAATCATATAATATATGAAATATGCCTAGTGCCTGATACATATTAGATGCTCAGTTAAATGGTAGGTAAAAAGCAGAACTGGATGCTCCACAAATTTCCTAACAGTCTGCTTCTCATGGTATTTCTTTTACTCCCAGAATTCTATGAGCAGCTCCAGGCACCTGTTAGGGCGTGAATATCATGGTACCTGCCGCTGAGGTCGAATCTCCCTGGTCCCCTTTAAACCTCACCAAACTTGTTAACTATGGCTGCCCGTATTCTCCTAGCCCCACTCACAAGCCAGCTTGGTGCTTACACAGACCTCAGACCTTGGGCTGGGATACAAGATGAAAGTGGATGGAAGGTTGGAGGAGAGAGTGGGAGGGAAGGGGTAAGAGACCAGAGATCAGGCTGCAGAGAGAGGCAGGAACTCAGACAGGTCTTGAGAGCCTGAGGGCAAAAGAAAGCCACAGAAAAACTTTAAACTGGGGCATGCCAGTGATCAGGTTTGCATTTTAGAAACATCCGCTGTGGCCACAGGAATGGAGAATGGATTGGAGGGCAAGACTCAAGGCAGAGAGACCAATGGGAGGCTGTTGCAGTCATCTGTTTGGAGATAATGCTGACCTGGACCAAGAAAGAAGCAGTGCCCATGGGCAAAAGTGCAGATTTGAGGAACACTTAGTAGTTACAGTGGGCAGACTTTGAGACAGACTGGATATGGGTGGAGAGGGTGAAGAATCAGTCAGGATGGGATTGAGCTTTAGGGACTGAACAAACAGGTGAACTTGGCACAATAAGCAGCACATGCTATTATCATTGGTTATAGTAATATTCCTTCCTGCTAGTCACTTGAGCTTTTTGAGGATCAAGTCTTATGCATGTCCATGGGCTTGGTACATGACTAAGTAAGACACAGTCTCCACCCTCAAGGAGCTGACAGTCTGATGAAGACTACCTGCAGTTTGACAAATGCTATGATAGGGGAAGCATCGGCTCTTCAGGGAAGGCTTCCCTGAGAAAATGCCTGAGCTGAGTCTTGAGGAGCTAAGAAAGAGCAGATGGGCAGCAAGCAGTAGCTTCATGCAAAGGCACAGAGGTGGGGTGACCATGGTTCCTGCGGGCCACAGCAGGTGGCTAGGGTGTGCTGGGTGCTAGTTCCCCTTCCCATAGGAAGCATCCACTTGGACAGGCCACAGCCAAAGCTCTTTCTCTAGCTTGACACTGACTTAAAGTGATTGGATTTAGTTGACCTGATCTGAATTCAGGGCAGCAATGTTTACCGGACAGACTCCAAATGTTACCAGGCCACCCCAGCTTGTCATAATCTGGCTCCTGCTTGCTTTTCCAGAAAAACTCTCTGTGATAGCCCTGTTTTCAGGCTCATCTCTTCCTGCTGAATTTCTCACTCTTCCACCCTCCACCCCAGGCTCCTTCACACTTCTGTACCTTTCCACATGTGATTCCCATCTCCAAGGTTTGACCACCTCCCTCTCATTCTTCAAGAGCTGTTGAGGTGCCACCCTTTCTGTAAAACCACCCCAGCCTTCCAGGTCACTGTCCAATCCCTCCTCGGGGCTCCAGAGACCTGAGTTCAGCCCTCAATTACGATTCTCATCACACTGGATTAGAAGTACTTACTGAATGGGTTCTTCCTT